GTAATATTTTTCATATTAATTAAAAGTCATTAACAAATTTTTCCTGCAATTTTTTGAGATTTTAAAGGGAGTCACTCTCTGGAATTTCTCTTTAACGACTCCCGGTAATTTTCAGGGATTATTTTTGTCAACTTTCTCACGTGGGAAGTGTATAAATTTTTTTTAAAGCTTCACATAAAAATAAGACCGATTTCAACATGCTCTTAAAAGTTAGTTAGTTTTTCTAAAACCGGGAAAGGGAAATTCACTTTTTTTAAATCAACTGTAAATATTATTTTTTTATTAGACAATTTTTTTTGGTGCATATTTAATTTTGGGGTACTTTTATTCCGAACACATAGTTTAATGCATTTATTGTAACATGAAATTCACTTTTATCAAAGATTATTTAGCAAAATTGTCGAATATTTGATCTGTAGTTATAAAAATTCTGGGATCGCAAAACCATTGAACTATACAAACCAACTAAGCGTCATCTTTCTACATCCAGACCACTCTGCTCTTTAACCCACCCTCAACTCGACTCTAAATAACGTGTCTGTGTAGCTGCAGTTGCTCTCGACAAGCATTCAAGGTAGCATGTACAACATGAGGTAATGACAACTCAAGTACGAAAGCTAAAACAGTTCAAACTTTTATATTTTTTACAGTATTTTGTTTTCTCTTTGTAAACTATTTCCATTACGTTTATTTTAGGACAAAACCGAATATCACTATCTTGTTTCTCGAAATTTTCTTGAACATGTTTCATCTGAAAGTATGCTTACCCAATTAAAAATTGACAACTGGCGAAGTATTGTGCGAGTACTAATGAATTTCTGGCATTCATAATTTGCGCGCACCGCGAAATGAGAGACGAAGTTGAAAAAACTTTCTGAATAATTGATCTGCAAAATTTTTATTTGCAATGCATAGTTGACGACTGCAAATAATTCTGCAAACATTAACCAAAATGAAAAATCCCAAATGTTGTTTTCTAATTACTTAATTCATTGAAATCGGATTTTCTTCTTTGGAACTCTGTTGGATAAAAATTTGTTATTTTTTATAATAAAAAATGTTATTTAGTAGCCATCTGGCTATATGATGGTTTATCTTTCATTTTTCAAAATTTTTTGTGTTTGCAATTTCCTGTGCGTGCTTGGATAAACTTTTTACAGTTTATGGTTTTCCCTTTTGATGTGTAACGTTCACATGTGTAAAACTGAGCGTGACCCTGTACGTACTTAATATATGTTCTGGGTGGTGTATTACAGGCGAATCCAACAATTTTTATTTTTAAGGAATGTTGTCCAATTTGTAAATCATTTTGAAGTAAATCATGTAATTTCTGAATTGAATCATGTAAATATTTTTACAAATTTTATGGCTCAGAATCACAACTGTTAATCTAATCTAAGCACTAATTCATAAATATTGATCAGAAGAAAATTCATCAAAATAGAAATACTTTTTTCATTTACTGATTCATTGAATTACAATATATTTCAAATTACTATTTCAAAGAAAATTTAATAAAATGGGTGTATAGTTGATATCGTCAATGTGATGATTCAAGTTTATTGAAAGAAACTTCTCCAAGTTCATTGCAGTTTCCATGATGCAATAGTGTGGTTGAGGATCATACATGGAAGGTTCGGTATATTTGAGAAAGATATTTGTCCCGTTTGCGAAAACAGAAACACTTTGCCTTCGGCGATGGCAACGATTTGGCTCTCTACAGACGACAAATACACAAATTCAAACTTCATTTTCAAGGCTCTTATTGAAAAATCGAATACCTCTGCTCCCGTATGAAACATCAGTTTATGTAAACATCCGTTATTACTTAATCGAGCATGTAGCATAAAACCATAAAGAAATCACTGCGAAATTCTAGTTCACACATTTGCATTTCATTTTTACTTAAATAATTTATTTTATAATTTATTTCAAGAAAATTGAATGATCGTTTGAGAAATTTCACCTCAAATTAGTCATAAAATTGCGATACTTGTCGTAAGACTATTATTATGGATTTAAAAATATTTTTTTAATTCTTCCATTATGAGTTTTCTCTTTTGATTCTGTTATTGTGATGAATTATGTAATGAATTTTTTTGTGTACACAAGTCCTGCTTTTTAAACTTTAAACGACATGCTTCCTGAATAATCCATAAATTGCACACATTGGTGTTTGACACCCTCGGGCTATTGTGTGTGTTCTGTAAGCAAAAATTAAATTTTGCCTTTCAAAAAAAATGTGAGTTAAATTACAGTATCGACCATAATTGAATGAACACCCCTTTTTTCATTGTAGTGTAAAAAGCGTTAAGCGTATAAAAGAAAAAGAATGAAAAAAATTTACATTTTTTTCTTAAAAGCCAATAAAATTATTAAAAAATGATACCTAATCGCTGGGTCAATGGAGTGCTCCCAATTTACCTAATTGCTAATCTGGAATTAGATTTTAAATAGTTAAAGTGGCTGTTCCATTATAAAGCGAACAAACTTTTAAAATCTAAATGATTTCGAATTCTGAAAATTTGATGCCAGATTGGTAATCAGCGACCCCAAAAACCCTAGAGTAACGAGTATCAAGAAAATCTTAAACATTTCAAAAACCTAACGTCAGATTAGTAATTGGTGACTCCAAAAACCCCCGAGTAATGAGTTGCAGACAAATTTAAATAATGGCTTTTTTCTACATAAGTCATCGAAACAACATAAAATAAATCGTCTTTCCCAAACGGCGAATCTTCCTCTTTTAAGGAATCGTTTATTTTTTCCCCATAGCAGTTTCTTTACCAATAGTACCTTAAAAAGTCTAATGGCTTTTCGCGTCAGAAAAGAGGGAAACTGTATAAAACCTCTCCTGAGTACAACCGGTTTATCGCGATAGTCGAGTTTCAATAATGTATACTGGACAATAATCGACATTGCACATCATTATAATGAGAAATAGCATATTTATGATTTCAAATATATTATTAAAAATTTTCATATATTCGTCACATGTTTTAAAATTACCTAAAAGTACCAGATGAGTTAAGAAGCTCAGACGTTGGAAGTTTGATTTTAAAACAAAAATTTTAAAACATTTTTAACTTTGATATTTACATTCGAATTTCAGATTATTGGAATATTCAATTATAATTGTAAAATTTTAATTCAGCACATTTGTTTCTGTGTACAGCAAAAGGTCAGATTTTATGTAAATTATAGTATAAATTGTTCAACGAACTGTAAATAAAATTTGTAATTTAACCCGAAGCGTTTAAATTTCCATTTAATATTCTCTTTTTGATAATTCGCATTTTATAATAGAATTGCTAATCGAGAGATATCATTTTTGGTCTTGCCTCCTAGAAATAATATAAAAATTTATTATTTGACTCGACTTTAAAATAAATATTATTGAATAAAAAAATATTTAAATTTTAAAATGAAAAGAGCAGAAAAAATATAAAACATGTGTGGAAATAGCCTGAAGTATCATCAGAATCTATATGGGTTAATTATTAATGTAAAAGAATATGAAATGTAGTATAGGACTCATTTAATCTGAAGGTTAACTAGAAAACTTTGAAGTTAAAAAATATAGAGGAGAGTGGGGTAAATCGGCAATACTGATATTATGGGGCAGCAGCTTTTAAGAAAGAGTAACTGTTAAATTAAAATTAAAGTTTTTATTTTAATCCTTTACAATTAGAATCAGAGAGAAAGAGTAGATCCAGATGTCTTCAGGGACACTGAAACAGAATTAGAACTTTGTGGAATCAATCGAGAATTTAAATGGGAACAAAATTTAAAAGTATTAGTTACTTACCTTTTAAATTTATTCTTAGAGTTGTAGATCCAACAAGCTTCAGGGTTGAAGAAATGACGTTGTCTAGCGGAAATAGAGAATGCAGTAGATTTCCCTTGAATTATTTTCGGGACAGCCAAAGTGCAAGGTCCGGAGTCCAGGTGTTGATGTAAATTAGATAAAACACCCTACAGCCTAGGAGTTCTTGAAAAATAGAAAAGTTCCTTCTTAGTAGAAATTATCTCCTTGAATGAACTTGACTTAGACGAGATTTGAAGAAGGCACTTGATACTTGAAGAGATTTTCTAAACTGGAGTCGAAGAACAAACTCGATGACCGTACACAACTAGTAAACTTGGTGGCGATTCTTGGACTGACAAATTCGTTAAGGCTGACACCTTTCTTTTTGCAATGGGAACTACATCATACAACCCACTTTTATTACATTTGGATCAATGTGATAAAAATTTTAACTATTGTATCAGACAAGTGGGGACTAATTTTCTCAATTATTCCATAATAAGTTTATTTAAAATAACAATATGTTTTTAACTAAAAATTTTAACAATATAAATATGTTACGAAGTGATACCTAACACTGGAAAAGGAGAGCTATTATATTATAGCTTTGTGCAGTCGTGCTCTTCATCACCTTTTCTAGATAATTTAAAGGCGAATTTAACACTTTACCTGTTATTTCCAGCAATGGAAGAAAATTTCAATACTTTTAAATTGAGTTCAATATTACAAAGTTGTGAGAAAATTCTTCAGTGGCTTCGTGATATCGAATAATACCAACTCAAAGCTATTGTTAGATGATCCACAAGTTTTGAACATCCATAAGAATCAATTCTTTTGTCGAAATGAATATTATTAAAAATCACTGACTGTCATATAATATAAAAGTAATCATTATAATTTAATTTTTAATACGTGACGCAAAATTTCTGCAATAGAATTTTAATTTCAAGAAGTAGTAAATAAATGTCGTTATCAGTTGGCGCAGAACTTGTCAGAGACATAATTTAAAATTAGTTAATTGTATTTAACTGGACTATTGTCCAAATTCAAATCTCTAATTTGAATAAATACAATTTCAACATTTATCGTCTAAAAAAATACTAAAAATTTATATTTTGTGATTTTAACTGTATTCGAAAGAAAATATTCGCCTAAATAGTCTTTTTATATTTATTTTATTGGTTGTTTCAAGTCTTGGTACGACTACAAACTGCGGTGGGAGCCGAAAGAGTATGGAGGAGTACACATGTTACACGTACCCTCCGATCACATATGGCGACCTGACATAGTTCTCTACAATAAGTAAGTTCAATTCACAATTTCTTTTATATCTACACATATGACTTTAAATAGTCATTATCTATAATTTATATATTTTGTGATGTAGTGGCAAAGCATGTTGTCAAATACTCTTAAATCGATTGAACACTCTTTTTAACTATTGAAATTTATATATTATATATCAACAGTAATCACAATTTATTACTTAATTCGAAAAATTTTTCATTTAATAAAAATTATATATTTTCTGTTCACAGTAAGGTTTAATATTCAATGTTTTCATTGAATTATAGATACTATTTTTATTTTAAATCATATTCAGTTTATTCAGAAATATGATAATTTTATGTCATACAATAAAGATTATACACTAAAAAAGAATTCTGGTTGAAATGACTAAAACTCCAGTAATAATTTTAAATTAATTAATTTACTTGTTGCAGTGATATGAATTTTCTATTAAATCTAATCTACTGCTCGGTTTATATTAAACTTAAAAATTAAATCGAAGTGAGAACAAATCCTTTTCAAAAAAATTTCGTTGTTCTTAAACGAACTTTTTGCTTTAAAAGATAAGGTAACAAATAACAAAAATAACCTTGAATTTACTTCATCCAGTGAAAATAATAATGTGCTTTTAGTAGAGTTGAGGTTTTAGACCTTATTATAGATAAATTTAATAATCTAATGATTATAAAGAGAGTGTTAAACTTCTTATTCTTGGGCCTTAATCTTAGAGTCGCGTTAAAATCATAGTTGAATTTCAAGCTACTAAAAAGACAGATAAGAGCGGTTAAAATATTGGTTTCTCAAAATGGAATCTTACCGCTTCCGAGTTAAAACAAAGGCGTAGAAACTGAAGTTCTCTTAAAATCCTTTTATGGACGTAATGATATTAACCATTTAATGTTTGCAGCAAAAGACTACGTCTCTATAAAAACAGTAATGGAAATCGTGAACATGTTCAAAAAGGATTACTTTGCAACCTCAGTGAATTATATGCTCGCTTTAAAGCAGACAATGATGGAATCAGAATTAGAATTTACAAATTTACTCAAGTGCGACGAAAGCACTGTCTCAAGCACAAAACAGTGTATTTTATACACTCAGAGTGCTGATTTAATTCATGAAGATGTTAAATTAAAGCTAAATGCAATCAACATTAAAAACACAGGATCACAAAAAGTGGCACTACTGAGAACTTATGTTAGTCTACTTCAGTATTTCTTTAAGCTGATTCTGAACTCGAAGTAAAAATAGTAAAACTGTCTCGAATTTTTTAGAACCAAAAAACTCAGAAGTAAGAATTGGAGGTATCATTTGTTATGTCTCAGAACGAAACTAAACATATTTTAATTTGTCCGGCATCGGTGATTCAAACCTGATTTATTCACAGAGCGGAAGGCTCTGATCAAAAGGGACAGGTTTATGAAAGCGGAAATGTTCAAGTTGAAATTAAATTATTAAAGTTTTTATTTGAATCCTTTACAATTAGAATCAGAGAGAAAGAGTAGATCCAGATGTCTTCAGGGACACTGAAACAAAATTAGAACTTTGTAGAATCAATCGAGAATTTAAATTGGGACAAAATTTAAAAGTAACAGTTACTTAACTTTTAAATTTATTCTTAGAGTCGTAGATCCAACAAGCTTCAGTGTGAGGTTGAAGAAATGACGTTGTCTAGCAGAAATAGAGAATGCAGTAGATTTCCCTCAAATTGTTTTCGGGACAGCGAAAGTGAAAAGTCCGGAGTCCAGGTGTCGATGCAAATTAGTCTGAACCCCCTTCAGTTTTGGAGTGACCGGATTATTGATTTGACGTTGATGTCGAGGTAATGCAGTCTTTAGAAAAATAGAAATGTGCCTCGTAGTAGAAACTATCTCCTTAAATGAACTTGACTAAGACGAGATTTAAAGAAGGCACTTGATACTTGAAGAGATTTTCTAGACTGGAGTCGGAGAACAAACTCGATGACAGTACACAACTAGTTAACTTGGTCGTCGCTGCTGCAGGACTGACACGACTAGTTAACTTGGTGGCGATTCCTGAACTAACTAATTCGGCAAGGGTGGCACCTTTTATAGGTTCCTTCTGCAAAGGAACCACTTTTATCATCTTTGGGTCAATGTTATAAAAATGTTATTACATGTCAGTGGGGAACCAATAGAAAAATGACAAAATCCATATGACACCATGATAGTGTATATTTGTAAATTTATTATGTTTAATGTAAATCTAGTAGCAAAATTAGATTTGTAAAAAATGTTTAAAATTAATTTTGCTTTGGCAAAAATTTTTTACTTGATGAATATTTTATTGGTACTTTCGATTCTCGGTTAACATTTAAAAAACAAAAGCAATTTTTCCAATCTCGTGGCTCATAAAAACACTGTAGCAATATTGCTGAGTATTATTTTTATGATACAGCCGATGGTATAGAAGCTTGTGACTACTACTGTTATGAACCTTATTTTGAATGCTAAAGTATTATATTCAAGGGCTAAAGAACATTGAGAAGAAACGAAAATCTTTTCTAGCAGTAAAGACAGTTTCATGGATACAATAAAAGGAATTGAGACTGAGATTTGATAAAGACGCAACGATAACAGGTACTTTACAGTATCATGCTTTTATACCAGTTAAGGCGTCGAAATTTGATATTAAAAAGATTTTTGCCATCTATGGACTCTGATAGTTTTCTAAAGGCAAAGCTTCGTAATAATCAAAACAAAGAAATATAACAGGAGCATAAGGATCAAAAATCAAATATAAAACCGATATTAGCATAACTATTTCAACGAAAACAAAGTTAATAGAAATTAGAGAATTGGATATTAACTTAGAAAAGCATTTTCAACTTAGTAATTAACAAGAGCGTCTTTCTTACTACTTGTGAATCAAAAGATCTTCGAAATAACGTGTCAGAAACTATGCAGAAAATTTTTTGTATAAAATTAAATAATAATTGATATTTAAGTCTTCACTTACAATGACAAAATTTTAGTAAAAATAAATAACTTATATTTTCATAGAAATAGAAAGGTGAATAACATAACAAATATTCTATTGGAAAAATAAATTGATGTTCTGGCAGAATGAAACTGTTGAGGGAATATTCGTTTAAACTTAACGATTTTTTGATTTATTTTAAATTTTAATAAAGGATTGTTAAAGGTGCATAAGAAGGAGGTTGAGGTTAATAGTATGGAAAGGATATGAGAAGATAAAAGGTCATAGAAAATTAAAATGGGTAAGCGTTAATGGGAACGAAGCAAGCAGCAGCAAAAGGAGCTGGAAATAGGAGCCCAGAAACTGGCGAATTTTTTATAGTTTAAGTCGATTAGATTAAATTATCTTTTGTAAACAGAGCATAAGAGTTGCTTTAATTGTTTAGTTCGTAAATAGATCCCCATATTATTCATACTTCTTGATGGCAATCATATATTCGCTTGTTATATCTTATTTTTAAAAAGTCTGTTTTTACTTATTCTTAACACTTAAAGGCGAACGTTATAATATTTTCTTACGGTTTCGGCTCTTCCTGATGTATAATTTATCCTTGGACACGATCGATTGAGTTACAATTTGCAACACATAGAGACATTTATTTTATTTCCTTTCTACAATTACATATTTTATTATTTTCTACCACCTCATATTGTTTTAGTGTCGATTGAAACCCATCTATATCAGAAATCAAGTATCGATTGCTTCTAAGGACTTGTGTTATTTCGTACGGGTTGTTGAATGTTAGTCGAAGCTTAGGAGATATCTCCGAAATCAACTCAAGTTGAAGTTACGTAACATTATATAGTCCCTGAGTTTATAGTTTTTAACTACACAGGAAAAAAAACGTCTGACTCCGTTTACACCTTAAATTCAGCCCATGTATTTCACATAAGTCTGTCCTTGTTTAACGGGGCTGACTCCGTTTACATCTTAAATTCAGCCTCAAAAATAGGCTGAAAGTAAAACTTTTTTTTAGTGTGTAATTAATATTGCCTTTAAGCCCCTTTCTCTTTAGAAACTTACACTTACAATATATTTGGACGTGGTCATTAACTTTTCTTTATTTTAGGGAATCAATAATCTAAAATCATCTAATTTTTTCGCGTATATATTTTTATAGTCATGGCTAAAGAATTGAAATTATTTACGATCTTAAATTTAATTCCTTTCAGATGAATCACTGAATCTGCGAATCGCTTATATAATTGCTAGAGCTTTCAATTCAAAGCTATCGTTCTTGATTTTAGTTTCACTTGTTATTTAGGAAAGTAAAATGTGGAGTGAAGTACGTGATCCCTTTTTTGTATTAGAAATTGCACTAGCGTAGCAGTACAACTACATCTCATGATTTGGAATCTAAATGTATTAAATTGGAGCGGATATCAATCTTTCTTTCAACGCTTTAAAAGCATCTTACTCTACCACTCAAAATCTAAACGTGACATTCTTATTCCCTTAATATTTATTGGAACTGGAAATTCAGCACATGATGTCACGCATTTAGTCGATCCATTCTCCTCTGCTCTTCATTCATAACTATTTCTTGGTTTCAAACATTTCTGTAACAACAATTTTAGTTTTAAATTCAATATCTCCTTACGGTACCTCTGGCCTAATTATTTATAATAATTTATAAACCATTATTTCGATTCACTTCACGTAATTATATCAATGTGTTCACCAATATTAATATTATCCTCCCTTCAATAATTTATTTCATTGGCCAAATTTTTTTTATTAGACTTACAGGACTGCCACTAGCCAGAAACGCTCTAGAGTTGATGTTAAATTGCTTTCCACCGAAGTCGAGAAAAAGTTTCACCATCGAGAGAAATCATCATCGATCCTTGTCTCGTCCACGTTGACAATCTTTCTTTCTGACCTCTTCTTCTTTGGACGTTTTTCCACTTGATACGTCGTTGATCTCCACTTGTAACAGGTACCCTTTGCTATAACTTCTCGCACGCAATTAAGAGAAATATGTTCCCTCTTTCCACAATTGCTCCTTCAAA